AAGGAATGTCAAACTGGTCTCATTGGACTTAATGATTCAAATCTAAAATGGCTGGCCAAAAATGTATTTAAAAGAATATAAATCAGGTTCTCTCTACTGGCAATGTAAAAAATTGATTGGATTTGATCTTGAGAGCTATGGGCATTTTTGAAACAATATTTTAATATTGTTAATACAAGAAAGTTTTTGTTTATAATTTTGGGGAGGGTTTGGATATTTTGTACTTACCGGTATTTGTATTTCCAATGATGAATGAGTGCAGGGTTTTAGTAGTTGTTGTTTTCTCTTTTAGCCACCAGAGGGATCTCTAATATAAGGAATAGAATAAAATGAAACCAATTCTCTAGTTGTCTATTAAGAATTGGTATTATTTTTAATCAAAGCTAATATTAACCATTTTGTTTTTTTCTCGTACTATACTACTTGCTATTCATATATTATATTATTGGCCTTTACTGAGCTTTTTTTTTCTTTTGCACATGTTGGAGATTCAACTCCCAATACAGTGCTTAAATGAAAGGAATTATTGGGAGTGGGACAGAAGAACTGGCAGAAGTCAGTGGGTGGAATTGGTCTTTCTCACTGCGCTCCATAAAGTCTGGGAGCAATTAGAAACTACTCAGAAAAAGGTACAGCAGCAACATAAAAAAGAAGCAACGGATGGAAACTAATCAAGGAGAGAAGCAACCTAGAACTAAGGAGAAACTTCCTGACAGTTAGAACAATTAACCAATGGAACAACCTGCCTCCAGGAGTGGTGAATGCCCCAACACTGGAAGTTTTTAAGAAGAGACTGGACAGCCATTTGTCCAAAATGGTATAGGGTTTCCTGCCTGAGCAGGGGTTGGACTAGATGACCTCCAAGGTCCCTTCCAACTTTATTATTATTATTATTATTATTATTATTATTATTATTATTATTATTATTATTATTATTATTATTATTATTATTATTATTGTTGTTGTTGTTGTTGTTGTTGTTGTTGTTGTTGTTATTATTATTATTATTATTTGACTGCTTTTAAAGATCAGCTGTCTGGATAAGATAGGGTTTGGGGAGACAAGTTGGCTGTCCATGTTACACTGACTTTTCCAGTCAGAAATATCTAGGGGTTGGAAGGGGCACTCCAATTTCCTAACATTTAGATTGTGCTTGAAAATTTTATATAGTATGTAAAAAAAACCTTCTTAATTATTGTACTTTTGGTCTTATGCATTTGAGAGCATTCTAGATGGCAAGTATGATCATTGCCGTTATCGAAACTTGGCAGGATGAAACTCATGAGTGGAATGTACTGATGGAAAGATACAAACTGTTCAAAAGAAACAGACCTAACAAAAGAGGAGGTGGAGTTGCATTATATATAAAAGATCACTACATCTCTACAGAAATGTACAAAACCAAGAATGAAAACTTCCAAGAATGCATATGGGTCAATATAAAAGGAAAAAAGAATGATATTGCCATAGGTGTATACTACATGCCACCCAACCAAGCAGAAGAAATAGATGAACTTTTTGCTAACCAGTTAACAAATGTATGTAGGAAACATACCACAGTAGTAATGGGATATTTAACTACCCTAACATCAACTGGGAGACAAACTCTGCATCAAGGGGGGATTGAACAGGTTCCTGGCCAACCTACCTGACAACTCTGTCATCCAAAAGGTGGAGGAGGGAACTAAAGGGACAGTTATACTGGACCTAATTCTTACTGACAGAGAAATGATAGACTGGGTGAAGTTGCTGGAACTTTGGGGGAGTGTAACCATGTCATATTGAACTTCAATATAATGCAAACCCAAACAATAGAACATAATCTATCTCTCTACATATGCAGTAGAGAGTAATCAGAGCTGCTTAATCTGTCTTCTGTCTTCATGCAAAAAGATAATACAGCCCAAACTACCAAAAACATAACTGTAAAAGACTAGGAATACAAATTAATGTAAGCAAGAAAATGATAAGAGATCACCTGTCCACTCTTGATGACTTCAAATCACCGGGACCTGATGGATAACATTCCACAGTATTGAAGGAACTGGCAGATGTGATCTTGGAATCACTAAACCATATCTTTCAAAGATCCTGGAGCACTGGGTAACTAACAGAGGGCCTGAAAAGAGTTGATGTGGTTCTCATCTTAAAAAAAAAAAAGGGGGGGGGGACAGATGCAGGAAACTATATAGACCAATCAGTCTGACATCAACACCTGGAAAGATCCTGTAAAAGATAGTCAAGCAACAGATCTGTAGACACCTAGCAGCAAGTCAAGTTATAAGCAGAAGCTAATAAGAGTTTGTTAAAAACAGATCATGCCAAACAAATCTTATTTCATTCTTTGACCAAGTGACTAAAATAGCAGACCAGCGAAATGCTGTCGACATGCTGTGAATTTCAGTAAGGCATTTAACAATTTAGACCACAACCTACTTCTTGGTAAGCTAGAAAAATGGCCCGTCTCCACTAAATATGTCAATTGCATAGTAATGACATTGAAGCTTGACTAAATCCCTTATTTCATAACGAAAGAAACTCGGGGGAGTAGGTAACAACGCAGATAATTCCCACTATATATACATATAAATGAATTAAACGTCGTATGCCACAAAACTAGAACTAAAAGTCAGGAGGGTATGAGTTTATCTTAGACGACTACCGTCCGGTTCAAATTGTCTTATTGTCTCAACCTTCCCCTAGAGATTGTAGGTCCTCAAGTCCAACCCCCTGCTCAAGAAGGAGACCCCATACCTTTTTTGACAAGTGGCTGTCCAGTCTCTTCTTGAAAGCCTCCAGTGACAAAGGACCCACATCTTCTGAAGGCAGGCTGTTCCATTGGTTGATTGTTCTCACTATCAGAAAATTTCTCATTTCTAGGTTGAATCTCTCCTTAATCAGTTTCCATTGTTTCTTGTCTGGCCTTTGGGTGCTTTGGAGAATAGGTTGTCCCCCTCCACTCTGTGACAGCCCCTAAATATTGGAACACTGCTATCATATCACCCCTGGTCCTTCTCTTCACTAGACTAGCCACGCCCAGTTCTTGTAGCTGTTTTTCATATGTTTTAGCTTCCAGGTCCCTAATCAACTTGCTCTTCTCTGCACTCTTTCTAGGCCAATGATGGCGAACCTTTTAGAGACCGAGTGCCCAAAGTGCAACCCCAAACCCACTTATGTATTGTCGGGTGCTGGGTGGGCATGGCCCATTGGGTGAGTGTGGTCCATTGGGTGGGTGTGGCTGCAGTGGTAACAGCAGACTGGGTGGGACTAAAAAGTTCAATCAATCAATTCCAACTTTGCGAAATCTTTTTTTTCCCCGCGAGAAGTTGAAATTGATTGATTGATTGAACCTTTTTTTTTTTTGCACACGGCGGCGGAGGCCTAAAGCAAAAACCCAGCTGAAGGCCTGGGGCAACAGTGCGTGTGCCCATAGAGAGGGCTCTGCGTGCCACCTGTGGCACGCATGCCATAGGTTCGCCACCACGGTTGTAGGCTCTCAACAGCTTTTTCATAGTGTGGGGACCAAAACTTGATGCAGTATTCTAGATGTGACCTTATTAAGGCTTTTTAGAGTGGTACTAGTATCTCACCTGACTTTGATTCACTCCCTCTGTTAATGCAATTTATGATTGCATTGGCTTTTTTGGCTGCCACCGCACACTGCTGGGTCATATTTGGCTCATATCAAAGGCAGGCTTATTTGGAGTTTGATCTTTTTTCTCTATTGGTTCAACTATGGCATATCTGTTTTGGGATATAGCAACTTGAACATTTTTGGACATAGGATTCCCTGCTTCAACATGGTTAGTCAATTGAGAACACCGAATTGTAGGACTGGAAGGGATCTTGGTGTCTTCTAGTCAAATCCCTTGTTTAAGGCAGGAAATCCTATACCATTCCAGACAAATGGCTGTCGAATTTCTTCCTAAAAACCTCCAGTGATGGAGCACCCACTTCTGGAGGCAAACCGTTCACTGATTGTTCTCGCTGTCAGGAAATATCGCAGCACTGTTGTATTGGCAAAAGATGTCCCACGTACGTGCTCATGCCCACGGAGGACCCAAACCTTAGGCTCTAAACCAGGGGTAGTCAACCTTGGCTCTTTTATGACTCGTGGACTTCAATTCCCAGAATTCCTGAGCCAGCTTAGGGAGTTGAAGTCCACGAGTCATAAAAGAGCCAAGGTTGACTACCCCTGCTCTAAACAGTGTTTCTCAACCTTGACAATTTTAAGGCATGTGGACTTCAACTCCCAGAATTCCACAGCCAGCATTGCTGGCTGTGGAATTCTGGGAGTTGAAGTCCACATGCCTTAAAATTGTCAAGGTTGAGAAACACTGCTCTAAGAAGAAAAACGGTCTGGAGGAAAATATCCGGTTCTAATACATGAGAATATTTGTAGCTCAGGGTTAACACGAGGGGGTACCTTGGTGCTCTCTGGCCTTGCTTGTTTCCTTGCAGACCTTTCATTACCCTCGCCCTGATTATGCTACCTAGTGTGGGTAACGAAACGTCTGAAAGGAAACCAGCAAGCAAAGCAAGCTCAGAGAGCACCAAGAACCCCTGAAATATCCGTCTGACGCGCTTCGACTCGAACAAGCAAAAAATTCCCCGCGCCATTTTTCTGCCTCAAAATAAACGCCTCAGAGCGTTCCCCGGAGCACCGGCTCGGCGCTGAGAAAGGAGAAGGCCGGCGCTTCCTTCGCCCTTGCGCTTTGCCTCTAGCTCCCTCATCTCGGGCAGGAGGCTCCCCTCCCAGCGCGCCCCGCCCTGCGCAGCGCAAGGCTGTCTCCTCGCCCTGCTTTGTTTCTTCCTTGCGCTTGCGTGGTGGTCTGCCCGCCGAGGCTCCGTGCGGTGCGGTGCGCCTGCTGGCGTTGCTAGTGCCGCTGCGCCGGGGCTCGCCCGGGGGGGAGAAGCGCGCTTGCCGAGAAACGCTGGGGAAGGGCTCGCCTTCGCCGAAGAAGGGAGGCTCTGGCGCTCGTTCCCAGGCGCCTCCGGCTATGGAGGCCGCTTTGGTGAAACCGATGGTGGCGGAGGTGAAGCCAGGCGCCGTGAGCGCCGAGCTGGAGGTGAAGAAGCTGCAGGAGCTGGTGCGCAAGCTGGAGAAGCAAAACGAGCAGCTGCGCAATAGAGCCGCGGCCACCTCGCCTTCTTCAGCGCCTGGACTGAGCCCGGACAGCCCTCTGCAGCCGCGGCTGATAGCCGCCGCCGCCGCGCAAGTCCCCCGCAGCAGCTCCCCGCCAGCCGGCAGGTCGAGCCCAGCGCCGGCTCTCGTGTGCCAAGCCGAGCCCTTCGTCTACTTCAAGCCGTCCCCCGTCGGGGGACCCCACGAGGCCCTCGCCGCCACTTCCATCCTTCTGAGCCCGGCCAGCCTTTTGGATGAGGTGGAAATCCTGGATCTTCGGGGGCTCAGTTGCCCTGGCCGGGAAGAAGAGCGTCCGCGCTTCGAGGAAGAGGAAACCTGGTGGGTATCTTTGCCGGCCGCGTCGCAAGTTTGCCGCACAAAGGGTTTGTCTCTCTCGCCCTGGCGCTTTCCCCCCTCTTTTTCCTTGCTCCTCGTCTGACAAAAAAACCCCTTCCTCTTTCTGTATCCAGCTGGCGTTTTCCAAAGCTCGCTTTTCCACCATTAGCTGCCCAGTCCTCTTGGATTCTGATTTTTCTTTTCTTTTTTCTTTTGCTGTTTAGATCTGGTCTCCCTCTCCGAACATCTCCGTTTCTCTCATTGATTATTTTTTTTCCAACCATTACTTTCCAAGTCCTCCATTTGCTTCCAACCTGCTTTTTGCCTGTGCGGTTTAAAAACAAAGATTTAGAAACACTGGGCTTTAAAGGCTTGTCTTTGTATTTGATTGGTGGATAAATCCCACACCTGAATATGCATATGCATTTAAGGATTGTTTCTGAAAACGGGCATGAGTATAAATTCTTAAAAGAAATTTAGTACGAATTCGAGTCACTGGAATATGTTAATTGCCTTGAGTATAATGTGCAAAATAATCGCGGTGCACTAGTCAAGATTCTAGGTTGAAGCTGATTGAAATAGGACAATTATAAACAGCGTACTGTCATGTAGGGAAGAAATGATAAAATGGGGAAAGCTGTGGATTTCAAATAAGCCAGTCTGGAGCTCGTGGTTTAGCATATATGTTTGAAATGGAAGTAGAGTTGAAAATGAATGGGTAATACTGCCTCAGTGGGAGGAATGAAAGCTCAAGGCTTGGAAAAATGCATGTGGATTTCAGTACTGTGGTCAGCAACCCTCGTGGTTTATATGGCCCTAGAGTAGAATATTTCTGAACAGATACAAAGCAATAAGGGTGCCTGCAAAAATAATAAAAATGGAGGTAGTATTTGAGATATATTGCAGAAAAGGTATAAACTTCAACAGTCAGCAAAGCTGGTGGGCTTTTTCCTCCATTGTTAGAAAAACTGCAGTCATTTAGGAGAAATCCTTAGTCTTTTCAGAAGGAGTAGAGAAGTTAGGAAGAGAATACTGTTTCATACTTCTTCATTTTCTTACAACCATACCTTCTGACACTGCCTCTTGCGAAATTCAAAATGCTTCCAAAGAAAAGTACATGTAGATTTGTGTGGAAAGAAGAAGCATCACTCGCTCTTTCCCATATCAAATACCATTTGTATTTCAGTTCCATATTCCTCAGTGCATCACACAGTCAGTGCATTTTTTTTTCAGAATCTCAGCTATTAATTTGACATTATCTGTATACAAAAGGACACACTTCTAACATCACCACAAGCTTTCATTAGGCATTTATCCATAAAGGACATTACATATAATTGTATTACTCTTGCACAGTGTTGAACAATTTGCTAAGAATTCCATTTTGTAAAATATTCTGGAATTTAAGTAACCCATCTGGGGAAATAAAAGGCATCAATATCAATAAATGGGATCACATTGGTTCATCAGAGACATTTTTTTATCATCAGTACAGTCTCTAAAAAGTTGAGTAATGTTTAAAACAGTGGTTCTCAACCTGTGGGCCGGGACCCCATTTGGGGTTGATCGACCATTTCATGGGGGTCGCCAAGCAAGGCTGTCCGCCATTGTTTTTGTCCGCCATTGTTTTTGTCCGCCATTGTTTTTGTCCGCCATTTTTTTCCCCTTTTCCGGCGGGTGCCTTACCTCCCTTGGGCTGGGCCAGCTGGTGGTCGGCCTGCTCAGTCTCTGGGCGAACGGTCGATGCGGAGCCGGCCGCGTCCCCCGCCTTGGTGCGTACGCACCGCGAGGGCCCGTCCCTTTCAGGAGCTGAATGCTGGCCAACCCATCAGGAGCTGAATGCTGGCCAAATCAGGAGCTGAATGCTGGCCAAATCAGGAGCTGAATGCTGGCCAACCCCAGCGCCGTAATTTTTCCAACTCTACCACTGGTTTAAAAGAACTCAACACAGTAGTCCTGAAAATCAGCAGAAAAGTCTCCCAGTGCTTGTGGAATCTAATTCTAACCATACCATGAAATGAAACTAGCTAATGAGTAAATAGAGAATGTCAACTACTACATTTAACGTAGCCAAGAAATCAGTGCCATACACTCAATTGATTAAGAGATATCATGCTGAAGACCAGCGGCATAGATCTTTAAATGTTTGCCTCTACCACCCAATCTTCCAATATATGAAAAATACCAAAGTACTTTCAGCACCATGGTCATATCAGCAATAATTTATGGCTGCTAAGTGCGGAGCATAAGAAAATCTGAAATAGAGAAGCTTTGAGTACACAGTACAATAAGTGGTGGAAGGTAAATACTAAAAATTTCACTCAGATATCAAATCTGAAATGCAGAAATATACTGCAGAACCAATTCAAAGATGTCATCAAAATGGCACAGAAAGAAATTAAGAATAGGCAGGAATCCCAAAGGTGCTTTTTTCAGGAGGCAACTGGACTTTCTTGTGTTTCTTTTGAAGATGTTTTGCTTCTCATCCAAGAAGCTTCTTCAGCTCTGACTAGATCAGGGGTCTTCAGACTTGGCCCTTTTATGACTTGTAGACTTCAACTCCCAGAATTCCTCAGCCAGCGTGCCTGGCTGAGGAATTCTGGGAGTTGAAGTCCACAAGTCATTAAAAGGCCAAGTTTGAAGACCCCTGGACTAGATGGCGGGGAGTGGAAGGATTTATATTGCTTGCAGACAGATGGTCATTTGCATTCCTTTAGAACAGACATGTCAAACTCATGATGTCATGTGACGTCGCGCAACATATTGGGACTGTTTTGCCATTGCCGGCAATGGGGGAGGCGCAGCGTCCGCGTGACGCGTCCGGCCCGCAGGCCGACAGTTTGACACCCCTGCTTTAGAGAGTCATTGAAACCATTTGGAGGTTGACCTGTGTCCTCAGGGTCACCTGTGGTGCAAATGTGTGTGGAGCCTCCTTGGCTGCAGAATGTTTTCTACCCTGTGTTCCTTCACTGTTGAAGACAGACACAGGCTGTTGGGGATGAGTCTGTGCTCTCTGTATCTCAAACTAAAGGACAAATGGTTCCTGTGGTCTGCAATATTTCCTGGAAATCCATTCATACTCTCTCACCATACTCTTCAAGACTGTCTAAAGCAGGGGTAGGCAACCTTGGCTCTTTTATGACTCGTGGACTTCAACTCCCAGAATTCCTGAGCCAGCCATGCTGAGGGGAAAGGGAGAGGTTTCCAAGCTGAGCCATGCTGGCTCAGGAATTCTGGGAGTTGAAGTCCACAAGTCATAAAAGAGCCAAGGTTGCCTACCCCTGGTCTAAAGGAATGCAAATGACCATCTGCCTGCAAGCAATATAAATCCTTCCACTCCCCACCATCTAGTCAGAGCTGAAGAAGATTCTTGGATGAGAAGCAAAATGTCTTCAAAAAAACCACAAGAAAGTCTAATTGCCTCTTGAAAAAAAGCACCTTTGGGACAACCATACCTGGATGACTGAGTATCCCCATATAGACAATAGGCAGGAATGTTTTAAATATGCAAAGCAGTGGGTGTGGTAGTTCTTTTAGATGCTTGCAGGATTGACTACCTCTGAGTTGGAGAGATGAAATAAAGAAAAAACTTGGACCCAGATAGAATATTATAGCATTGGACTGTATACAACACAAACACCTGTTGATCTTATCATTTCTAGCAGTGAACCTATCTAAATGAATGGACTAAAGTACTTAAGAAATTATTTTACTTTTTGCCTTTTCTCATACATTCTTTTTTCCCCTCAAGCTCCCCCTTGTCACTCCCATTCTCCTCACTCGTGTTTCCTTCACTAATCACCTTAAGCTTTTACCTTAACCAGTCAAATTAATAATTCTTTTAGATTTTATTCCTTTGTTGTGTGTCTGTATGGTTAGATACATGCCTAAACCACATATTCAGTTTAGACTTTGCCACTCGTAGTGGTTTGGGTAAGAATTTTAACATACAATATTTAATAAATAGTAGACTAGGTTATTGTCAGCCCTTTGAGGTTGTCCAGATCAGGAAACAGACACCACAAAAAGACTACAACTCTACTGAGATAGGCAATTGTAATATCAACATGCAAGCCTGACTGCATTTTCTCTTCCTTTCCTTTTATATTCCAGGGAATCAGGGAGGAACTAGAATGAGACTTCCTAATACTTTTTCTGTTTCCTGGATTCAAAGCAAGTTTTGGTACCTATCACAATGGGTTCTGCGTAATTGAGTCCCAGGGAGCATGTCATCAGTTGGGAGTCCCTTCAGGCTCACAAGAAATCTAAATCCAGCTCTCCTTGAATTCCATTGACTCTTATCTACCGCCAATTAACCTTGACCATTAGTAGTTCAGATTCTTATAAAGAGATAAAATGGAATAAACTTGCACTAATCTGAACAACCCTAGTTCCTGATTTATTGCGCCTGACAACCTCCATTTGATTCCCTTTACAACCCTGGCGACTCACTTTACGATCATTGTAAAAATGGTTGTAAAATCGAGTCCAGTCATTCATGTGGTGCCTTGACTTATAACCACAAAGGCTTATGATTAAAATTCTGGTGCCACGATTGTTAAGTTGAGGATTTACCCGTATGGTATTTAAGTTCAGTTCAAGGCTTGCTTAGAACTTAACCATTGGTTCCTATTATTTCACTTGATGGACATACGCTGTTATCTCCATTCTTGGAAGAATAAATAGTTACATGATATTGATTTACAAAAGGCTAAAACTAATGTTGTTTAAAATATGCTTCAAGCACTGTATAGTTTTAGGACTTGTAATTCATCTTCAAACACCAAAGGTAGAAAATTACAGCTAGCATCACTACAAAGAATAAAAGTTTTTCTCTGCTTTTATTTAGGTTATATGCTGCACCTGCTAAGGGTATCATACAGCAAGAAAAGTCACTGACTCCTCTGCAGTGGTGTCGGCATGTTCTTGATAATCCAAGCCCTGAGATGGAAGCTGCAAAGCGTTCTTTATGCTTCAGGCTGGAACAAGGTAATTCCAAGTTTCTACTCTTAAGATTTATTTTGGTTTTTTTTCAACTAAACCTTATTGATTTTATTAATTAGAGCAGGGCTTTTCAACCTTTTCACCGATTGTACCACTTTTAGGATATGACAGTATTCGAGTACCACCTAGCAAGGTGTCAAAAACTTGATGACCAAAAAAAAAAAACCCTGTTCAAAGTTGCAATTGCACTGAAATGACTTATGACCATTTTTCACACTTACGACCATTGCAGCACGCCCAGGGTTGTGTGATTTATATTTGGATGCTTGGCAACTGATTCATATTTATGATGGTCAACGTGTCCCAGGGTCATGTGATCCCCTTTTGCAACCTTTTGACAAGCAAAGTCAATGGCAGGGCTGCTGGTGGCCAAGTGCTAAGGCGGGACTTCCCTCCCTCCTTCCCTGCCTCCCTCTTTCTCATTCCCATCTCCTTCTGAAGGAAGAATTTGGAAAAAAAAACCCCTCCATATTTTCCCTCTTCCATATATTCATCAAACAAGAAAAAGCCTCCAGAGACAGAAAAGACAAGCCGCTGAGGGAACTAGCTTAAAAAGTTGCATTCCCCTTTAAGAATTAGCTACTGTCTAGAAAGAAAAGTTAAGGAGCTGGCATCCGGCACTTAAGGAAGAAAAAAAATGTAGTAAGTACTGGCTGCTGGCTAAGGCAGCCTCCCCAAATGGCTCCATTCATAAATAAAGAAATGCTGCAGGAAAAATCCATTCAGGAGAAAAATACTTCAAAATCCCTTGCAGCAAAACTTACAGCTAACAATTGCAGAGTAATAGAAGCTAACATGAGACATCAGCCATCAGCCAAATAGAAATTGCCAAACACTCCTTAAGAACACAAAGCCCACATTGCACAAATCCCAAAACTTCAAAGTCACAAAAGCACATAAGAATCCTTCCACTCTCCATCTCTCTCCCTCTCTCTGTGCCTCACCTCCAGCTGATGCTGCCTTTCTTCATTGCTGCCTTTCTTCATTCCTAGTGGAGGGCAACCCCTCCCCCGCTGCGTTTTTTGCCTCTTTGTTGCTGCCAGCACAGGTGGCTGCCACAGAAGTTGTAGATTGGCTCATGGCCGGCCTGCTTGATCTCCTCTCCTCTCCCCCTCCTCCTTCTTCTTTCCCTTTGGTGCAGCTAGACCTGACTCCGCCTCCTCCCAAGGCTGCCTCTTTTTTTCTCTCTCCCTCTCCCACCCAAACTGCCTCCTTTTATAGCCTCTCCTGTTTCCACCCCCTCCTACTCCTTTCTCTTCCGGATGAGCTGGAAGTGACAATCCTGGGGCCTTTGCCTTGCCCCAGCCATTCTGCAGCTCCGGAGGACTCTCTCACAGTAAGTCCTGCGCTGCGCTGGCTCGTTCCCTCCCCCACTACACTTGGCTGGGCAGGGCCCTGTACCGCCTGCCACATACTAATATACCACAGGTAGTACGCATATCACCGGTTGAAAAGCCCTGAATTAGAGATCAGTACCAGTATAAGATCAGCCATTTGAATGTTGTTCTATATGGAGCTGTCCTTATAAATTTTATAATTTTTTTTTATAAAATAAGGGTTAGGAATTTGTGTGATTCTGGAATTTTTCTGCTTTTCTGTCCCATGATTTTAGACACATATCTAAGCTCTTTGTTATGTTTTTGATACCCTTTATCTTTTGGAAAGACAACTAAAATCTGATGCACGTTTATAAAGATTTGTTTTCATTTGAAAATCACTGTCATTTTTAAAATTCCCACTTAGCTTGTACATGAATGTGTGTGTTGATTTGCCAGAAAATACCTTCAAATGAATAGAATCAGATAGAAGGTTGGTTCAGAATGATTGTTTGTAGAATAAGTGCAATATTGACAGTATGGTGAAATAATGATTGTGGCAAAGACCAAGGAACCAATCAGTAGAGTGGTTCCTTGGAACCTCTATGAATAAGGAGAGAATGAGAGATCACCTACATGCACTTTGGACAATTATTCCTTGCCAAGAGACCAGGGCAGCAGTTTTTATAGGTTTGAGCAACAGGAGAGAAATAAATTAGCCATCTTGTTCACATCCATAGTATAGCCTTTTAAAGGACACGAAGTTAAGAAATCTTACTTTTTAAATACTTTCAGAAATTATCTTTTAACTATCTTAAAACTATTAGAGACCTTCAGAATGACATGTTCAAAAAGTGTTCATGGGTGAGTTTATCTTCAACTTTGAACAAAAAAAAGCTAATTATAAGTATAGAAATTCAAAGCATCTAAAATGAACAGCAAAATATCATTTTGATTTTAGAAAGTTATAAGTAGACTAAAAATCCAGGTACATTTGGAATATTGAAACTTTTACAATAAATATTTGGAATTAATTAAAAAGACCAAACAGCTTCTTGTAGGGAATAGATCTGTTTTGGTTTTTGGAAGACATAACAGAGATAAGTAATTGAATGATTTCTGGACACTAGAGGAGATTAGATTTTAGATACAGGAAAATATGTATGCCTATAAAATACAAAATGTTACAACAATGAAAATACTGAAGGAGACTTGAAGAATGAAGTGAGAGATTAGTAGCTACAATGTCAGAATTGGTATCTGCTTCTATGGAGACCTGGCAGGCCAAGAGAATTACCTGGAAAAGGATGTTTCTCTGGATCTACAAAAGAAATTGGTTGATGTTTTAAAATTCAAATAGAAAATACAAAGGATAAACCAAGAGAGAAACCTGGACAATCTGATCTGGCAGGGTTGATGTGCTCCACATTCCTTTGATTAAACAATGCAACAATGCCGGAATCTGAAAATGTGCCTTCCCTGTAATTGCACTTCCCCTCTGGAATAAGGTTCCCCTTGAGATCTGAACAGACCCCATCCTTCTGGTGTTTCAAAGAACACTTTGGCGAAGACGATTGAAAACCCCTTCTTTTTTTTCTTTTCGTTCCCATCTGGGTTAGATGTTTTTGCCAAAGTTTGTCCCCTTCTTGTTCGTTTTACAATCATGCTTTAAAATTTATGAACCCTTTTGAACTGTTGCTTAATAAAAGATTTATACAAGCAAAGTTTATCCCTCTTTTTAAAAGCTGTAAAGTAAGACATTTGCATATGTTTTAATTTATATTGAAGGTCTAATTGTATGTTATGAAGATGAAAAGGCACCAAGAAATCATAAATAATATTCACAAAGAGATAAAGGGTAAAACAAATGAGAGTGTTTCTAACAAGGAAGGAAATGAAAATTTCTTTCTCAACCTGAAGCAGAAAATAATGGCTTTAACAGAGCCTTGGATGCAGAGTTAGCCAAAAGTCAAGATGGTAGCTATAACTGCACAAAATCCTGCACAAAATAAATATATATATATTAAAAAGGCCAGCATTCAATAGTTTGGTTGCATCTACCATCTTGCAAAACCTGCAGATATCCTGCTTTTGACTGGCAACTCATTGAAGTAGAGATGCTAATAAAGAAAAGATTTAAAAAAAAAGAAACCAATACGTTTCAACAAGATAACCCCCGAGACAGGATAGGAAGTCTGTCAGTCTGTAGACTGGACATTGCATCAGCAGGAGGGAGACTCTGTAGAAAGGTGAATGCACCAACCAAGAAAACTGAGTGAAAAGCTATCTAAAGGGAATTGCTTATCTAACGTTAGACAGACTAGGGAGCTATGTGAAAGCAACTTGAGCTGAAGGTAAGGAAGACAGAAAATTAATGAGTGGAAACGTACTCAAGTTAGATCCTACCTTTGCCCCCAGACAGAGCATCCCAAACAGATTCAAGTACTATTGTGTGTGTAAAATGTGAGCAAAGCCATGAAACTGATGTGGCAACTTTTACGAAAGGGAATGTTGAAATTGAGTTTTACATAGGCTGGCTTACTGCACCTATATACTGATCAACTGGGGATGTAGAGAACCAGTTTGGTCTAGTGCAGTGATGGCGAACCTTTTAGAGACCGAGTGCCCAAAAACTGGCCCCGCTCCTGCCCCACCCCCTGCCCCGCTCCCGCTCCACTCCCTGCCCCACCCCCGTTCCACCTCACCCTGCCTGCCCGCAGGGCCACTCACTGCCTCCAGGGCCCGCCGCAGATCACCCAGGCAGCCCAGCAGCGCCATGGCAGCCATGCCCTCTGCCCACGCCCCGCAGCATCAACTGTGCATGTTGGGGCATGAAGGCAGAATCTTGTCTACACTGCCTGGCTACCATGGCGCTGCTGGGCTGCCTATGGCTGTGCTGCTCCGCGTGGGCCACGCTCAGGGGCAACTCTCCTCTAGGGGGGCTGCTGGTGAGGAGGGGATCGTGGGCGGAGGCAAGGCTGGGGCAACGGCATGTGTGCCCACAGAGAGGGCTCTGAGTGCCGCCTCTGGCACCTGTGCCATAGGTTCACCACCACTGGTCTAGTAGTTTAGGCACCAGGTTAGAAAGCAGGAGGTCGTGAATTCTAGTTCTGCCTTAGCCATGAAAGCCAGCTGGGTGACCTTGGGTCTGTCCTTCTCTGTCAGTCCAACTCACCTCACAAGTGGTTGTTGAGGGGAAAATGGGAGGAGGAAGGAATATTAGATATATTTGCCACCTTGAGTTGTTTATAAAAATAATAGAGGTGGGATAAAAACAATAAACAAAGAAATAAATAAAGTAACAGTCAGTGGAGGAACACTACACCTTTATCACTTTTCCTAAAACACATTTCATATCTCATACTTTCACCACTTCCTTCCTCTGTTCTATTCTGAAATTACTTTTATAAGAAGAGAAGTCTTTTTCTTTCCCTGTGCCTATTGAAAGCACTCCTGCTAAAACTGACTGGAATACATTTCGCACTTTCCCTAAGAACAGTGGAAAGTTCTAGAACATGCTTTGTCCATCCTCTTCCAGTTTTTTGTTTTTTTTTACAAATGCTGTGTTTTTATTACTGAGGTTCTTAGAATCCCAGCTGCAAAAACAGTAGCTTTGTTCACTGTGGGTCTTCTCAAAGGCATAATTGTGGCAAAATAATGAATGATGTTTACACATGGGCTGCACGTGCATACAGTAACAAGGAGATGGCCTTGGATCAGATTGTTATGACACTGCATCTGACACCAATCCAAAGGCACAAAAGACCTTTTTCATTTTAAAGGCATTTATATTTTATGACTTTTAATGAAAAGGACAAAAGATTGAAATCTGTCTTAAAAACGGCTTTTGCTTTTCTTGGGTTTTCTTTTAATAAGATTAAGATGACATGTTAAAGTGTTTCTCATATATGTGCATGCATAATTTAAGTAAATCATTATTATCATTAAATCCATCATTAGCTGTATACCAATCTGGATTTAGCATGATTATAATTGAAAAATGTCTGCTCTGGAGTGTGTACGTTTATATTAAAAATGGGTATTTATGTAATTTGAAATTTCACTTTGGTGAAAAGAAGAAATATTTACATCTATTGGCTTAAAAGCTTAAAAAGGGGGTGCAATTTGTATTGGCTACTTGATGAGTGAATCTGTGGTTTATCACAAAATTTCACTCGTTCAAGTTTATCTTCAATAGTTAATCCAAATAATATTGTGTTTCAAAAACCTTACCTCTATGATAATTAAAAGCTCACTAATACAGCATTTCTTTTAACCATTTTTAAAACACAACTTTGTTATTCTCAGTACAAGTACATTGATTTTAGTCTTTAACAAAACTATAGCTTCTAAAGTTCTTGTTCCGGTATATATATTCATTTTGTCCATAATCAGAATATTCTCATATCCTTTATTTTTCTGATAAATTTCAATTTAAATAATTTGTGTAGGTAAATATTTGTACCAAGGGGTGTTTAAAATGTGCAACGTTAGATTGTATTGTATGGGAGATAAAAAAAAATAAGAAAAGAAAAACACTTTAAGTCTATTCCATTTTGATCCTTTTCCTTCAAAATGTGGTTCTTTTTTATTTATCTTACACAGGGTTTTTCCCCTCTAACCTATAGAAAATTATTGACATTCTATCAGTCCAGTGGGATAACTCCCATGCATTTTGGATAGATTGCTAACATCAGTTGGTTTGGGAATAAAATCTACTGTCTCCAGTGAGACTTATCTCTCTAGAAGTACATACAGCAATACTGTTTGATCTTTCTTGTGATATTAACTTCCTAATAGATATGCATTCTGTTGCTAAATACAAACTGATATTTTCTTTTCTGTGCCCACTAACAGCTAGTAGATGGCGGAGTCTCTTCTCTTCATCCTTGGCTTTTCCTTATAGTCCTGTTGCAAGGTTTACTCCATATAGCAATAGCTTTAACAGTCCTGCGTTCCCTAAAACCTTCAGCAAAGCAATATTAACACCTGAACAAACAGGTAATGCCTACTTTCTTACTAACATAACAGTTTAATATTATCATAGCCCAGGCCCTGTAGGTTTACAGAGAGTGTTTTTAAAGACTGATGATGATTCAATCTGGAGTAGAAATCAGGAGATTCTAGTCCTCCCTTAGGCACAGACGCCAGTTGGGTGACCTTGGGTCCAGACATTCCCTCTCAGCCTTAATCAGCATCAGGTTCTGCCACAATTAATATATAAAGAAAAGCCATCGTGGATTGCTAGATTTGCTGTAAAAGCTAAGTAAGTGCAGTGCAAATAATAATAATAATAATACATGTTCCTGCAACCATGTGAGACAAATGCTAAGAAAAACAATATTGAGTCATCTGTTCCTTGTTGAGGAAATGCAGGTGATGTCAGCACCTGATAAAAATTCAGATGTCTGGCAACTGACTCACATTTATGACTGTTGCTGTGTCCCAGGGTCACGTGATCACCTTTGGCAACCTTCTGACAAGCAAAGTCAATAGGGAAACCAGATTCACTTAACAACCAGTTTTCTAACTTATCAACTGCCATGATTCAATTGACAACTGTGGCAAGAAAGAACGTAAATTGTGGCAAAACTCATTTAACAAATGTCTCACTTAACAACAGAAATTTTGGGCTCAACTGTGGTTGTAAGTTGGAGACTACCTGTACTGGGTCCTTGTGCCTTGTATAGACCTTAGGTCTGATTGGTCAAGCTGGAGTTGGGGACTGGACAAGGAGTAGAAAGGACCAGTTTATCCTATCCAGATTCTTGCAGAGTAGCGCTGCAAAATTTAGTACTTATTTAAATGCACAGACTGGAAGTAGAATGGAGCTGTCCTCTTCTCTAATGCCCTGTGCCATATATGCCTTTTCTGTGAAGTCCATATATCCCAAATAAATTCTGAGAAAGCAACTTGTTTTACATAACTATACGTGTAGAACCTCAAAATTCCATATAGAATATGGGAAGTAGAGAATTAGCTACCCTCATCATTAACCTTCACAAGAGTCACGGCTCATTAACACATGGGAAGAGGAAAATTAGCTCCCTTAATCTCCTGCTGTAAGATAGTGGTCTATTAAATGCAACTTGGTCCTCTGGGTTTGAGACATCCTTCCTGAAGTACAGCAAAAGACTCAATATGGTAATCTGTGAGAATTTCCCCTTCATTATTTTATTTGCGATGGTATGTTTTCAAAAGAAGATTCTTCCACTTTCTTCTTTCCCCCGCTCTTTTCCGTATCATTTGAAGGGTCCTCTGAGAATTTTACTTGCAAATACAACTGTTATTTGTGCATTTCACTGAGTAACGAGACATGATGCCTCCCTATTCTCATGCCCTACAATTATGTGCAATTGTCATTGTTACAATCTTCAGCCAGCCTGTTGAAAAGCCTCTCCAATTACAGTTGCAGTGTATAAGCTATATAAAATGCATGCTTCCTTGAAATCCAGTATTTGAGAACTGCCAGTTTGGGGAAATTTGAAGTATGATCACCCAGTAACATTTTGGATAGATTGCTAAAATCTCATCAGATATGAACATAGGTTAGGACATCCTATGGAAGCAATACAGGTAGTCCTTGACTTACAACAGTTCATTTATAGTTATTTTCTGTACTCTTCTGAACTTGCAAACAAATTCACCTGCTTTAAGAATTTTCATGAATCAATTCAAAGCAGCAGCATCTTTTTTCAGGTTTGTTCAAGAGGATCTATTTAATGAATAACATAAAATAGTGGTGCTCAGGTGTGGTACAAGCACATTCCTAATCTCTGCAAAGTATGCACATCCTTAGATGTCAGGGTGTGTGTGTTTGTACACTTTCAATGAGTCTTTCTTCCAAATAGATATTTATGATGTTGGGAAGATGTGGACATAATGTATATAGCAGTATATATATATACTGTATATTCTTAATTTATTAATTTATGAGTTAGTGCTGTTATCTTTATGAAATGTTTATGGATTTAATGTTTTTCAATAGATTGCATTTCTAGAAGCTCCCCTCTTAGTCCCCAGTCATCTCTGGACAGTGAATTGAGCACTCCAGAATTAGAAGATGATTCCATTTCCATGGGGTATAAACTACAAGACCTCACAGATGTCCAGATCATGGCTCGGTTACAAGAAGAAAGTAGGTTGAAATTTTTATTTTCCTTCTTCTAAATAGGTTTTTTTTTTGGGGGGGGGGTTGTTTGTTTTGTTTTGCTTTGCTTTCTGATTAGGGAAAAAAAGGCTTGATCTTTGCAAAATAATATGATTTTGCAGAATATGATTTTAAAATTTATCTAATTAAAATTTGAGAATGTGTTACAGTACTTTGGTTTTTAAGGGAAAATGGTGTTCGCGTACTACTTCTCTAACTCCTTAAAACATCTGCATATTTTCAGAAAATTGTATTGCTTCTCTTATGACTGGTGCGTTCTCTAGAAAATAGGTGTGTAATTCAAGGAGTTGGATACTGGTTGTCATGGTTCCGACGACATATAAAGCAGACTCCGAGGCTTGGAAATTCCTCAAAGAACATGTTTATTAGTTACAAAGTATCGGCATGATCAAAAGTGAAACCAAGTCTGAAATTCCCACTAAAAAATTCCCAGTTACAAAGTATAATATCCCACCCACAAATCTATGCCATCACTATGTTCCCCAATATATTCATTTGGCAGGCTTTCTTATACAATGCCTCTGATCGCGGGAGCAGTAAATGACCTTGGTTCCCATGGGACAGAAGATTATTTTGACTAGTGAAGCACCTGGGCAAGCCCCCCTCCCTCCGTTCTATGTGGCAACCTAGAATGAAGAGAAAGATGGCTGCAGCCAAGTTCATTGTAGAGTTGACACTGGTACTGTATATACACAGTCATAAATTTCCCATTTGCCTTTGCATATGAAGTACTTCACAGCCTTAAAAATGACATCTATTGTAAGAGACTGGGGTTCTGGAAAAGGAATAGAACAGAGAGTGAATATAAATAATCAAGATTTGGCAGGAAAATCAGTTCATAGCTTATCTCATTAAATGACAACCCGAAGTGGGTCAGCTGCCACCTCAATTCGCTTGTGCTTCGATGCCAAGCGGTGACAGTCTGCCATGGACTCTGGGGAGGGTGGATGGAAGCCAAATGGGACAACTCACCATGGCCAACCTATTGCAAGCCAACCTGCCATGGCCAACTCGCCACAGCCAACTCACCATGGCCCACTCGCCATGGCCAGCTCGCCGCAGGACAATTCACCATGGGACAATTTAACGATTCAATTTAATTTTTAAAATAAATAAAAATTATTTTAATTTTTGTCATTCACATTTTATTTTATCTTTCCTTTTGTATTCTTTATTTAATGAATCTATTCCACCATTTCTTTGATATTAGTGTATCTCTTGCCATCCAACAAGTTGTCCCACGGCAAGTTGGCCATGGCAGATTCTTCTGTGGCAAGTTGGCCATGGCAAGTTGACAGTGGTGAGTTGGTTGTGATGAGTTGGCCATGGCAAATTGTTCCGTGGTGAGTTGGCTGTGGCAAAATGTCATAGACCTGGATGGGAGGAGGGATGCTTGAGGGGAAAGCGAAAGTAACTGCTGCTTGGGGAAACCGAGAGTAATTGCTGTATCTTCCCAGAATGCTACTTCAAGTTCTCCCACCTGGGAGAAGAACATAGCTGCATATCAACCTACGCTTGAAATGACCGTTCTGAAAACATCTTGCTTGAACCTGATTGGTCATAGGGGGTCACCGATCGGAGGCAGTTAATGGAGGGAAAAGTTGAACTGAGGGATTTTGGCAGACGATTCTGTTCTGGCTATGCACTACTGCAATGCACTTGACTTCTAATAAAACTAGTACCTTTCTCAACAAACAGAGCCAAGGGTAATTTCTATTTAGAGGTTTATGTTTATGGCAGGTCTGACAAAGTGTTTCAAAGACAAATTGTCTTAATGAACTCGGTATAAATAAGGGTGGGAAATTTCCTCTGATGGTTTCCAGGAGAATGTATTTACCCAGACTCATATTAAAGAAACCTTACTGAAAACTGTGTAATTCTTGCTTCTTTGATCTTGGTTTGTCTGGCAAGATTAAAATAATAATGCAATTATATTTGTATTATTAGTAGAAGTACGATTTTTACCATTTTGTATTTTGGATCTTGTTTTCCTTTACAGGCCTGAGGCAAGACTATGCTTCAACTTCAACATCAGTGTCAAGAAACAGTTCCAGTGTATCTCTTCCTTTGATCAAAAAAGGGACCAGTGGTGATCAGGAATTTGATCGTTATAGCCTTGAAGATGAGGAAGAAGAATTTGACCACTTGCCCCCTCCACAGCCTCGGCTCACACGTTGCTCTCCTTTCCAAAAAGGAATTCCCCATTCCCAAACTTTCTCCAATATACGGGACTGTAGGAGGAGCCCAATTTCCCCATATTTTCCCTACAGTAATAACAATCAACAGCAGCCATTTTGTTCTCCCCAACCCCCAAATCTTCTGGAGTCTCAATCAACCAGAATTAATGGAGGTAAGAGTGGCCGCCTTGTGTAACCTGAGTTTTTCATGACATCAGTTTACATCTGATCGTGAACAGACTATCATACTAGTGGGCTGTTGTTTTTTTGATAACATATCTTAAAATAATTCATAAAGGCTTAATATTCTGGAAGTAGTTTCCTTCTTTCCATATATATAAAACCCATTCTTCATATTTCTTTTTTTATTTCCCCACACAAGCTCACATTTTCTCTTCCATAAGAAGAGTATTCCTGTGTTTAGCAGTATGGATTTTGTTGTTTCAAATGGAGCTTTTGCAACCCTGGCACTCCCAGACATTACAGTCATCCTAACAGGGATGGGAGTCATAATCTAATATAGTTGGAAGGTATTAAGTAAGGAAGGCTAATTTAAATGACGGATCAAAATCCATGCATCTCAGTAAACTGCTTTTCTTGTTGGGGTGACCCTGAGTAATAGATGCTGCTGGCTCGTTGATTTTTTTTTTGTTTTGCATTAAAAATCTTAATTATAGTGAATCTGTCATCATTTCTTTATTTTGGGGGAAAGATAACATTATTTTAATATATACCGGGGGGTGCTGCAGAAGAAGTGGGCCAGCGCAGCGAGGCAGGTGTCAATTCATGGGAGGCCTGGCTGCAACGGTAAACGGGTGCAGGGCGCATGGGGCAGCTCCACCCCTCCACCCCTGCCCTAGCTTGTGTTCGCCTCACCCCAAAACTAGGGTTTATTTTTGGGGTAGGGTTTATATTAGGCCCACCCCCCAAAATCAAGCTAAGGCTTATTTTCAGGGTAGGTCTTACTTTCGGGGAAACATGGTATATTACAGTTTTTGAATACACCTGGCAAGTATGTCAGAAGTACTGACAATAGGTATGTAAATTATAGCTAGCTGTAATTTGAACTATTTTATTTGATGTTCTGAGAGGTTATTGCTTATTTATACGCAGGATATATATCATTTTGTCTTCCATCAGGTCCATACAGCTTGAAACCTGCTAAATCTGTTCACCTCATATTGTGACTGTTTTTGGACTGCAGCAGAACTAAAGTCCTTTAAGTTGATAGGGCAAAAAGCATGACTCTTGAATACATCTGACTTGGTTGGTTGGCACAAATTTAATTTTCAAAGTTGGGATGGCACAAAAAGTGAGGTATAGGGTAATACATAACATTTTCTACCATTCTTCCAATCAAGCAAGTTAGGACTAGAAGGGAGAGGAAATATGAAGTAAGAAAGGTTGAGGATGGTTGGGACTGAATTGAACTAGCTTCAACTGGCGAAGATTTTCTGAACTGAAAACTTTCAGAGCCACATGGTACAAATCTCTCCTGTTTCTTTTTTGGAATATTACAATCACTATTGTTCCCATCCCAGAAATGGGATTCTAGTATGAAAAGAATATTATTGGAATTTTCTAAGGTAATGTTATTGCCATAGGAATTGGCATGGCACAATCAAAGGAGATAAGATTTTGCCATTATTAGCTTGCTTGACCAGATGCATCCTTCTATAAATCCCACATCAATTGGTCCTTTTGACTTGATCCGAAAGAACTTTATCTTTGAAATTCATGCTTGATGTCTTACTTTTGCTGCAGACAAACTCCGAAGAAGCATGCCTAATTTAGCTCGAATGCCAAGTACCCTTACTGTCAATACAAACAACAGCCCTGCCGGTTCTGTGAGGAACAGCCTAAGTTTTGATTCTAACTTGCATGGAGCCAGTAACGGGGTATCCAGAATGCAGTCTTGCAGTAAGTATGTGAATGTTCATGTTCTTTTTATTTATTGAAAGCTGTTTGATTGCCATTCTTTCCTAATCTTGGATCTTTTAATCCAATAGTCATACAGCTCCTGTGGCAAATCATTAGGACTGATAGAAAGAACCAAGGCCCCAGATTTTAGAGAGAAAAAAACTAGAATATTTTACATTCTTGCTTCAGGTAGTTTTTTTCTTTTCAGGATCACTTTAAGTTTATATATGTTGCTTTCAAAAAAATTGCAGGTTAATATGACTTTTTTTCCCCTTCTTGAGGAACTGTTTCCTCAGAGCAGTTGATTCATTATCAGGAACAAAGGGTAGCGTTTGTCTCCCAGGGTGTCAGGGTGACCGAAGTCCCCCTACAGTGTTATATTTCTTGCACATCTTATTTAGCTGATTAGCAAAATGTTCTGTTTTCTCTGCTTGGTTGGGTGGCCTATAGCAATATCATTTCTTTTTCCTCTTATATTCACCCAAATGCATTCAAGAGGGCTTTCATTCTTGGTATCATATATTTCTATAGAGATAGAGTGATTGCTTACATACAATGTATGTAAGTACCTCTTCTTTTGTTGGGTGTGTTTGAACAATTTATATCCTTCTGGCAGCATGTTCCAATCATAGATTCCAACCCACCAAATTTCTGTAATGACAACAATATCATACCTGCCCTCATTTATATCTGCCCTCATGCCCTCAGGTTCTCCGGTTTGTTCCCCAAAACTCTGAGCATTAACGTGTAGGCATCTGAGCTGTTTACGGCTGACCCTGTACTTGCTTCTTACCTCTTCTGTTTTATACCTGAATTCTCCTTCCTTCTCGCCACTTCCTTTCTCATCGTCTAATTTGTTTTCTTGGGGTTTGGTCTTAAAGATTGGCCACCCTCTCTTTCCCTTTTTAGTTTAAAACCCTTCAGATGAGCCTGAGTAGTTGTTTTCCAGTCTATGTGAGGTACAGCCCATCTCTTGCAAGAAGCTCTTCTTGTAGGTAATATAAACCATAGTCTAGAAATGCAAAGTTCTGTTAATGGCGCCATCCCGTGAGACAGAATCCTTGGCTCCCTTGTTTGATATTGATCTATCGTTGGCAGTATGGAAGAGAAGAATATCTATATCCTGTATTGTTTACTGTTTAGTTCCTCATAGTTGTGAACTGTGGTGGTGCAGTGGTTAAAATGCAGTATCGCAGGCTAATTCTGCAGTTCAAGTCTCACCGGCTCAAGGTTGACTCAGCCTTCCATCCTTCCGAGGTCGGTAAAATGAGGACCCAGTTTGTTGGGGGTAATTTGCTGACTCTGTAAACCCCTTAGAGAGGGCTATAAAGCACTGTGAAGCAATATATAAGTCTAAGTGCTATTGCTATTGCTATAGTTCCAAGATATTATTTCCAGGCATTTGATTGTATCATTCATCCCAACATGAAAGAGGAGAAAGGGATAATAATTGGTGGGCTTGATTATTTTGTAAGCCTCTCTGACACATCTTTGATCTTAGCCTCAGGGATCCAACTTACTTCCCTTAATTCCCTACTAGTTATTTGGTATACAGATTGAAGATTCTGTTCCTCTGTTCCTAGGCAGTCATTAAGAGTTAAACTTAAATTAATCCCTGATGGTGCAATGATTAGAATTCAGTACTGAAGGCTAATTTTGCCAACTGCCAGCAGTTCAAGTCTCACCGGCTCAAGATTGACTCAGCCTTCCATCGATAAAATGAGGACCCAGATTGTTGGGGGGCAATATGCTGACTCAGTGAACCACTTGGGGCTGTAAAGCACTGTGAAGCGGTATATACGTCTAAGTGCTACTGCTATTGCTACTAAATTGAGAGAAACTTTACTTTGAAGATTTATATTCAGGAAAATGGTTTAATGGAAATTATTTGGATCTCATTTTAAATGTACTTTTATTTTCTGTCACTAAAAATAGGATTCCAAAAAAATACCCAATGAGAGGATTTTTCTATTTTCTTTCTATGCATTTATTATTAACATAGTTGTAAAATTTCCGATCGCAGGAAGACTTTATCTCCAGGAGACAACGATCCAGCAAGATTGCAAAGAATGACGATTGTAGGACTTAGCACTTCAAGTGCATACAAATTCATTCCAGATTCAGTATTTTTTTTATCATTACTTAAAGGATGCTAGGAGGTTTTCTGCTTCCAACTTTCAAGTTGTTTGGCATGATTTGGATAAGAAAATATTTCAATCCAATGCTGTTGTTAAGTACCATCTCTTCACTTTTTCTCCTCTGTGAGGGTTTTAAAATATTTCCCCAAACTCATAAGTATCTGCAGTTACCAAAAGATGACTCATGCAGTGTCATTATGACACAAAGCTCACCCTTAAGTATTTGCATCACAACTTGTTTTTCGGTTGACAGGCTTTGATACAGTATACTGTATGTTTTGTCATCTGCTCCCCTTTCCTTCCGCATGGATATACATGCCTGGATTTCATAGGAAAGGGGTCAAATAGGAAAGAACTACACATACTGTGTTTCCCTGAAAATAAGACTGGATCTTTCTTTCTTTTTTCTTTTTGCCTCTAAAAGAGGCACAGGTCTTATTTTCGGGGGGTGTACTACTCACCTCTGGCACTAACACCCAGCCCAGCCGGTCCACTTCTTCTGGGGCTGAAGGAGCAGCTTCATTCTGCAGCAGCATTCCCGCCTGCATTTTGCAGTCAGGCCTTTCTGGAAGGGCCTATGCAGCCGACTACCGAGCTATGGATTGAATTTAGCTCGGTCCTCGGCTGCTGATATCTTGCAGAACCAAGCTATGGATTGAATCTGTAGCTTGGTTCTGGGCCGGTGAGGGGAGGCCTGGCTGCGAGGTAAGTGGGTGCGCATAGGGTAGATCCATACCCCCACCATAGCTTGATTTTTAAATGTGTGCCTCGCCCCAAAACTAGGGCTTATTTTTGGGGTAGGGCTTATATTAGGCCCATCCCCAAAAATCAAGCTAGAGCTTATTTTCGGGGTAGGCCTTACTTTCAGGAAAAAGGGTAATAACTGTGCTTCTGTACACATTTTTACATTGGTATATTTGTTTAATTAATTTACTTCCTCATCTTAATATGTAAAGTCACTGTCAGGAATTATTTAAATTTCTCTTACATTATAGCTCTCAGTTACTCTTTTCTATTTCTCCTCTTTTTAGTTCCTTCACCAGGGCAACTTCAACACAGAGTCCACAGTGTGGGACACTTTCCAATATCTGCTAGGCAGCCCCTCAAAGCTATGGCCTATGTGAGTCCAACAGTTCAAGGAAGCAATAGTGGCAGTGGCCTTGCATTGTCCAGCAGCAGCAGCAGCAGCAGCAGCAGCTTGCAGA